TTCCCCAATACTGATGCTCTCAGTTTACCCATGTAAACTACAATTGCTATACTGCTGATGGGAACAGTGAAGATGTGTATCTTTGAATAATCCCTCCTGATTTCAGAGTGCCAAGCCTAAACTCTAATTATATACTGAATTATCTCACCCGCTTCTCAGATGCATTACTGGGTGCTATGATTTTCCCAATATTTCCTCATGAACAAATGTGTTAAGAGGTTGAGCGATAGGGTCATGTTGACTCTGGTGACAAGGAAACAAGAAACCAGAAAAACGTTTTCACCACTATCTTGAGGAATTTCATGAATTGTACTACACACCCTCCTGCCTGCTCCTTGTCTTCTTTGTCTAGGACATCTTCCTCACATATACCATGGTCATTCGTAAGTTCTCAAAAGGTGCAGCATTTGTCACCCTCTTTTTATGAGCTCAAAATAATAAAGCAATAATAATCAGACTGGAGTCTCTGGAGTCAGACCCACTACGTGTGTGACACTAATAAGTTCTGTAATCTTTCTATATGCACTTCAGTTTCTTATCCAAAAATAGAGATAATAATATCATCTACCCTAAAAGGTTGTTAGGATAAGTAAATAATATATGTGAAAGTGCTTAGAACAATGCCTGGCACCTTTATGTATACTGAAGCAGACCATGCCACTGACAAACACATTTGATTTTACCCTCTTAGACAGTTCTAGGGTGTTGAAATGTAGAAAGGAAGATACTTTCTATACTCACTGGATGAAATAAAAGCTCTAAGAACTGAAATTGCATAGGACAGCATATAAACATAATATTGGGTTGGGTGCAGTGGCTCATGCCTATAATCCCAGCACTTTGGGAGGCCGAGGCAGGTGGATCACAAGGTCAAGAGATCGAGACCATCCTCGTCAACATGGTGAAATCCTGTCTCTACTAAAAATATAAAAATTAGCTGGGCATGGTGGCGCGCGCCTGTAGTCCCAGTTTCTCGGGAGGCTGAGGCAGGAGAATTGCTTGAACCCAGGAGGCGGAGGTTGCGGTGAGCTGAGATCACACCATTGCACTCCAGCCTGGGTAACAAGAGTGAAATTCTGTCTCAAAAAAATAAAAATAAAAAAAATAAACACAATATTAACAGGCCAGGCACGGTGGCTCACGTTTGTAATCCTAGCAGTTTGGGAGGCTAAGGCAGATTACTTGACGTCAGGAGTTTGAGACTAGCCTGGCCAATGTGGCGAAACCCTGTCTCTACGAAAAATTCGAAAATTAGCCAGATGTGGTGGCATGTGCCTGTAATCCCAGCTACTCCGGAGGCTGAGGCAGGAGAATCACTTGAACCCAGAGGTTGCAGTGAGCTGAGATTGCACCACTGCACTCCAGCTTGGGAGACAGAACAAGACCCAATCTCAAAAAAATAAATAAATAAAACAAAACAATAATAATAAATGTCTCCATTCTCAAGAAAGAAGTCAACCTGACAGAAAAAAAAATGGATGAAAGATTGTAGAACATAATAGATAAAAGCTTAGCTTCTGGATCTGGTGGACCTGCACTTTACTCTATATTGGTTATTCCTTCAACCAGACACTTAACCTCTCTAAGCCTCTGTTTACTCACTGGTAAAATGGGAAAAATACAGACTATAAGGAGATTTCATAAGTATTAAGACAATATTTGCAACGTACCTGGCATACAGCAGCCATCTAATAAATAGGAACTGATTTTATTAGTTCTTCTTTTCGTTTTTTGTTTTTTTTTTTTAATAGAGGCAGGGTTTCACAATATTGCCTAGGCTGTTCTTGAACTCCTGGGCTCAAGCAATCCTCCTGCCTCAGCCTCTCAAAGTGGTAGGATTACAGGCATGAGTCACTGTGCCCAGCCCTATTAGTTTTTTAAATTTAGGTTTTTGTTGTTGTTTGGTTTTTTTTTTGACAGTCTCGCTCTGTCACCCAGGCTGGAGTGCAATGGCATGGTCTCGGCTCATTGCAACCTCTGTCTCCCAGGTTCAGGCGATTCTCCCACTTCAGCCCCCAGAGTAGCTGGGCCTACAGGTACCCGCCACCACGCCTGGCTAATTTTTGTATTTTCAGCAGAGACGGGGTTTCACTGTGTTGGCCAGGCTGGTCTTGAACTCCTGACCTTGTGATCCACCCGCCTCCACCTTCCAAAATGCTAGGATTATATAGGCATGAGCCACTGCACCCGGCCTTAAATTTAGGTTTATAAGGAAACAAGGAACCCATGTTAGTCCAGGGGGATTCTCAACCTCAGCTATATATGTGAATCCCCTGGAGAGCTTTAAAAAAGTAAGGCTGCCTATACTGCACTTCAGACGAACTAAATCAGAATGTCTGGGGTTGGGACTGGATGTCAATATTTTTAAAAGTTGTCCGGGAGGCCAGGCACAGTGGCTCACGCCTATAATCCCAGCAGGCAATTGGGAGGCTGAGATGGGTGGATCACAAGGTCAGGAGTTCAAGACCAGCCTGGCCAACATGGTGAAACCCCATCTCTAGATTTCAAAAAAAAAAGTTGTCCTGGGAATTACAATGTATACTAGAAGTGAGAATCACAATAGCTAGCTAGAAAAGATGTCTCGATCTTTACCATCTAAAATAATTTTTTTTAATTAACGTCTACAAAATTTTTACAAAATAAACCCAAATCAGAATTTCTACTTTCCCAAGTCAGAATTACTACTATCTGATGGTGAAATGGAAGCTAACAGAGTTTGAACAATTTGTTTCTGGAAGATTCAGAGAGACAAGTTTAAAACTCTTGTCAAGTCCTAAAGCTTACAACTCTTATTCAGATGCATTTCTAACTACCACTTTTTCCTCAGCATGACTACAAATCCAGTCATGATCCTCTCCTCAGTGAAATTCTTTAATGCACCTGACCCTTCAGAATCAAGTCCAGACTCCTCATCAGAAACAATCCTTCAGAACTTGGCCCCACGTGGTGTATGGTGAGCATGAGTCACATACATTCAGCCTGCTGTGGCTCTGATCTAAACAGTCCAACCACCAACCACCCAAGCAGACACTGCTCAGTCTCAGGGGCTTGCTAACATGCCAAGGTTACCGTGTTAACACCATAGAATACAAGGTGAACAGCAGCCCCAGGAACTGTGCAACATGACAAGACTACTGGCCATGCTTTTCATCCTAGCCTCTTCTGTCTCTGATTCTACTTTATTTCCACACACTCATCATCCCCTCTCTAAACCTTAGGATCTCACACATGCTTTTCCCTCGGCATGGAACACTGGTTCCTCACTCTGCAGACCTCAACCTAACGACACTTCCTGGAAGAAGCCTTCCCCACCACCATCATCACCACCACCGTCCCACTTCAGGTCAGAAGCTCCTGCTATGCCCTCCCATAGTGCCCCAGAGTTCCCCATTGGCATTCTCAGTGCTACTGAGTACAAGGACCATGTTATCATGCTCACTAATTCCCAGGGCCTGGCACCTAGAAAGTGGTTAATGTATGTGGAATGAAGAACAGCCCAGAAGGAACACAGAGAAGCAACTGTAACTGATCCACAACAAAAGGTTATTCTCCTAACTCAGGTCTCACGTTCCACCTCCTCTAAAGTGAGCTTTGTGAGAAATGTTAACTATTGGATCTGAGCATCACAAATACAATGATCATTCCTCTATTGTAATTTTTTTTGTTGCTTGTTTTGGTGACCATCTTCCTGTGTCGCTCAGGCTGGAGTGCAGTGGTGTGATATCAGCTCACTGCAACCTCCGCCTGACCCTCCCAAGTAGCTGGCATTACAGGCATGTGCCACCACACCCGGCTAATTTTTGTATTTTTAGTAGAGACAGGGTTTCACAATGTTGGCCAGACTGGTCTCTAACTCCTAACCTCAAGTGATCCACACACCTCGGTCTCCCAAAGTGCTTGGATTACAGGTGTGAGCCACCATGCCCGGCCTTCTAATGTTTTTTAAGTTTGAAATTTTTCATAATAAACCTTTGGGGAAAAAAATAAAGTGACCTTTGCCTCTATTTCTAATCCTGCCTTCCTCGCTAGGTATTACTTAGCTACAGGATACCCAGCAACAACCTATCATAATTTCCTACCATCTGATGGCAGTGCCATAGGACACAGAGAAAGTATAAACCCACTGTCAATATAAGCACTAAAAAACCCTTAGGGTCAGGTAACAAAAAGGCCTCCCAACCGCTAGATATTAGGTTCCAACAAAATGCTGGGCTTTCATCAATTTCCTTCTAATTATAGCCTTTTCTTTTGAGACAGAGTCTCACTCTGCTGCCAGGCTGGAGTGCAATGTCATGATCTTGGCTCACTGCAACCTCCGCCGCCCAGGTTCAAGCAATTCTCCTGTCTCAGCCTCCCAAGTAGCTGGGATTACAGGCGCCCACCATCATGTCTGGCTAATTCTTATATATTTAGTAGAGATAGGGTTTCACCATGTTGGCAAAGCTGGTCTCGAACTGCTAACCTCAGGTAATCCACCTGCCTCCGCCTCCCAAAGTGCTGGGATTACAGGCATGAGCCACCACGCCCAGCCATCTATAGCTTTTTCTATAGGTGAGGAGAACTGTTCTTTAGGTCTGAGAAGAGGAAAAAGAAAAGATGCTGAAAAGCATGTGTAAGTTGCAGAAGAGAACACAGCACTAATGGATTAAAAGTCAGGGGAAGCTGAGTTACATATATTTGGCTTGCTCTGGTGCTAGTCTAGCAGCAAAATCACCAATCAACCAAACACGCTCAATTTCAGCAGCTATCTAACAGGCACAAGAGAGAACATGATTAACACTAAAGAAAAAGCCCCTGTTCGAGACAGCTATTCCGAAAGGACTGTGCACTCATAAACAGTTCTCGCTAGAAAAAAACAGTGACAAGGACATTAGCTTTTGAAGTTCAATAGATGAAGAACCCCTCACTTTCATTCCGCTTTGTTCCCTCTTGCACAACATTCCAAGGCAAAGAACTGTGATGTCAGTGCAGCTGATCTAGGCTCTGACACTTGCCATTACCTCTTGCTGTTTCTCCTCATTGGGGTATGTGTCTACAAATACTCCCAGCCCCACAAATTTGTCCATGTTTCCAAACACAGGCCCTAGAGAGAGAGAAGAGATGATGAACAATGAAATAAAGCTAAGGGTTGATAAAGGAATAATATATCACTATGATGGAGGAAAAAGTAAAATTCAAATGACTCCCAAGCCTCTCTTTAGATGAGAAAACACATGTAAAAGTACCCAGCAAAGTTCATGGCCTGTAACAAGTGCCCATAAATATCTGTATTTGTAGGTTGTTAGAGGCAAGGGAGAGAGAGAAGGCCACTGCAACCTTATTTAGCACTCAGGCAGCTTCCTGATCCAAACTGGTTGCTAAGGTGCCCCTACAGTATTCTGCTTTACAAACACTTGGTAAAGCCTATGCCCCCAAGAGAAAACTAAATTCCCTAGTTCTACTTCTTGTTCCAAGAGATCAGGTCAAATCAGGTTAAGCCTGCCATCTATGTGGAGAAATAGCTCCTATACAACAAGAAAAATAGATAACTCTTCTCTTGACTCAGCAGTGCTGAGATCATTCACTGTAAATGCTTGGAAGAAATCAGCTCACCCAGTCATGTTCAGGAGAGCCTGTGCTTTCATCCAGCCAACAGGCCAGTTAGTTTCACAAGGAGACTCAGAAGGAACTAACAAGTAGGCAACTCTCCCAGAATGAGTCAAATTCAGCTGCTTATAAGGACTCAGACCCCATTCTAGAGACTAGATAGGCTAGTGTTCATCCATGTACATTAAAAGAGACGGAAAACAGCTGGCACTGTGGGGAAGGAACCTTTTCAAAAAGAGGGCACATGAAAAAGCAGGCTGTCACGTCTACAAAAGAGTAACACAGGGTCCCAATACCTGGCTGCATTCGATCCTTTGTGTACCAGATTGCCAAGCCATCCCCATGCAGATTCTTCTTTCCTTGTCCATGAATTTTGAAATGCACTTGCAACTCCCAGTCTCTCAGGAAACATGGCTAAAGTGAGAAAGACATTGGAATTAATGAGAAGCATGAAATGCAAAACCCCTCAAGACCATACCAGCAATCTACAGACTTGGAAAACACAAATGCAGGTAACACAAGGCTAAAGGTTAAAACCTAAATCTAAGACTTGCTATGTGTTCATTCATAAAATTAAATGGATTAAACTGTTTAGAGATTAATATGAAAATGAATAAACCTCCCCATTATCATCAATATTTCCCAATAGAAACAGGACAGAACTCCAAAGCTGGAAAAGACAAGAGTATACCACACTCCTCTCCTGTGACCCTACATCCACCCAGCACAGTAGCTCGGCTTTTAGAGTAGAGATAGCTGAATTCATACTCATTTACAACTCAAGATCACCCCTCAGACAGAAAGACTCTGAAAAGCTGGATTTAAAGAAAGGTCAAAGCCTAATTTATTATAATAGAATAAGAAAAGCTAAGGTATTATGCAAAGGCTTCTAGGAATAATTAGCAGACACTACAAACAACTCTAATTAGCTAGATCTGGCCCTCTGCCAAGCTGAGGGGTAAGCCAGAATTCTCACAAGAGCAAGGTACAGCCCCTCAAACCCTCCCGTCCATGGCCAAGAAGCATAAATGCACCTGGAGAAGGATGCAAGTGGATGGTTAAATGTTTTAAATAGTTGAACAGTTTCAAGAAAAAATCAGAGTGGGTACTTCATTTAGGGAGGCTTCTGGTTAAAAGTCTACTGTGAAGAGAAGGTCAGGAGATTGAGACCATCCTGGCCAACATGGTGAAATCCCATCTCTACTAAAATACAAAAAACTAGCCGGGCGTGGTGGCTCACACCTGTAGTCCCAGCCACTCGGGAGGCTGAGGCAGGGGAATTGCTCGAACCCGGGAGGCGGAGGTTGCAGTGAGCCAAGATCGTGCCACTGCACTCCAGCCTGGCGACGGAGCAAGACTCTGTCTCAAATAATAAAAATAATAAATTTAAAAGTCTACTGTGAAGAAAGAAGTGAAGGAAGAACAGACAGACCAACTAAGTTCAGCCAAAGGCTCTCCAAATAGAATGCTCTGGGCAACATATTGTAAGATCATTTTCAGTTTTCATTTTTTTATTTCTGGGGTATTTTTCAAGTGTTCATATTAGAAGTATGTAGTCAAAATGAAAGGGGGTTGGGTACTCGTGCATTTAGCAAGTGGTCCTGAAATATCCAATAGGTTTTCCTACTCTGATGAGCCAGTCTCTGTCTTGTCACTCTGGATTCTGATCTCTCTGCTATTTCATTAAGATTTCAGAGAAAGGCCAGGCACAGTAGCTCACACCTGTAATTCAAGCACTTTGAGAGACTAAGGTGGGAGGATCACTTGAGCCTGGGAGGTCCAGGCTGCAGTGAGCTGTGATAGTGCCACTGCACTCCAGCCTAGGTGACAGAGTGGTAAGACCCTGTCTCAAAAAAAAAAAGGTTTCAGAGAAAGAGTGAAATTCAGTGGGGCAGAAAGCTGCCAGTAGGTAGGTATTATGCCCCCAGGAAGAGGGGAGTCACAAAAGCTCTCAGTGAGCCAAGAGATGTCTGTCACTGATTCTTGGCCTCCTATAGCAAAATGTTTTGTTCAGGGCCATGTCTCTAATAGTGGTTCTGAAATTCTGCCACACAATGGATGTACCTAATGAGTTTTAAAAAACACCAATGGCCAAGCTGCACCCTGTTCCAATTAGATCAGAATCTCGGGGGGTGAATCCAGGCATCGATTCCAATAGATAGCCGAATTTGAGAACCACTGCTCAAACAAATGCAACCTATTTTTTTTTTTTTTTTTTTTTTTGAGACGGAGTTTCGCTCTTATTACCCAGGCTGGAGTGCAATGGTGCGATCTTGGCTCACCGCAACCTCCGCCTCCTGGGTCCAGGCAATTCTCCTGCCTCAGCCTCCCGAGTAGCTGGGATTACAGGCGCGCACCACCATGCCCAGCTAATTTTTTGTATTTTGAGTAGAGACGGGGTTTCACCATGTTGACCAGGATGGTCTCAATCTCTTGACCTCCTGCCTCGTGATCCACCCGCCTCGGCCTCCCAAAGTGCTGGGATTACAGGCTTGAGCCACCGCGCCCGGCCCAAATGCAACCTATTAACTCAGAAACAAGCCCATAGCCATGGTGACAGCCAGATAACAGAGAACACAGGTATCAGAAATCTGAAAAAGGAAGAACCAGATGCCATACGAGCACTGCTGCTAAAAGTTATGTAGAGACAGAGAGCCAGCAAGACAGCAGCAGAGTATCAGGCCTTGAACATAATCATTCAGTAACCCACAAGAGCCCCATCAACAAACTTATAGACGTGTAATAACATAACACATATTTCTGTAACCATTTTAACTTGCCACAGCTTTTTCATGTCTATTGTCTTATTTTATCCTTACAACAACACTGTGGGCAAGTAAAACAGGTATTCTGAAGCTCCTTTATCAGATGGAGAAAAGGAAAAGTAAGAGGTTAAATAATCTGCCTAGGGCTCACCGGAGGACTGGGACAGAGCTGGACCAACAACCCCAGTCTTTCAACTGTCCTTTATCTCTCCTACCAGAACACAATGCTCTGTACTCTGTCCAAAAATGAGCTCAGCACTATGATCTAGGTTAAGGGGCCAGTTTGTACAGATGACTGATGTAGAAATTTCTCTTGCCCTCCTGAAGAGGAAAAAGAAATCATTCTCTTTTCTGAGAGGAAAAAGAAATCATTATCTTTTCTCATTATCTACAACTAACAAGAAAAGCCATGTAAAAGTAAGTTCTTAGTTTAGGAGAGCTCCAGAGAAAGTATCAAAGGATGTCAAAGTCATGCCCAAAAGTAAACTGGTTGTAAAAGATGTAGAATGAGCCCTGGAAACAGAAAAGAAAGCATCATCTTACACTTGTACAAAATCACAGTGCAGCCACACCAGGAATACTGCATTCACTTCTTGCCGCCATACCTCAAGGAAGACAATGCAGCTAGAAAAGGTCCAGAGGACAAATAAAATGACCAAAAGCTCAGAGTGGCTTTCACATGAAAATAAAATTTTATATCTTGATTCTTCAAATTGAAATAACAAGGTGGGGATACTGGGATAAGGTCTGGGATCTCTAAAAGAGCACCCTTAACCAGGCATGGTGGCTCACACCTATAATCCCAGAGCTTTGGGAGGCCAAGGCAGGAGGGCTGTTTGAGGCCAAGAGTTTGAGACCAGCCTGGGCAACATAACAAGACCCCATCTCTACAAAAATATTTTAAAAATTAGCCAGGTGCAGTGGCACATATCTGTAGTGTCAGCTACTCAGGAGGCTGAGGCAGGAAGATCCCTTGAGCCCAGGAGTTTAAGGCTGTAGTGAACTATAACTATGCCACTGCACTCTGGTCTTCTTGCAGTCTTCTTACAAAGTAGTTAAGTGGGAGTTAAGTTATTATTAAACCCTAAGAAGCAGTACTATTGAATCAATCAGGAATTAGACATGTCAGGAAAAAAAAAAGTGATGTGCTATAATTAAGGCAGTAGAGAGCATTTTCCTAAATACCTGATTTATTTATTATGAAGGTCAGAATAATCTCAAAAATAAAGATCCTTGATATCCAAAGAAGACAGAATACTGGGGGGATAAACAGTAAAATTAAATCAGTATGCCACTGCTGAAACTTCTAGGCCTTTCTGGGTCACCAACACAGGAGGGAGAAAGATTCTTACCACCCGGTTCCACAAGGCACCCTGTTTACTTTGCATATCTGGGGTAAGGCGGATATACTGGGTCATCACCATGGCATTGCCCATCAGATTCCACAGTGAGGAACTGCCTGTGCCCACACCTACAGGAAGGAAGTAGATAAGTTCATACTCTTCAACACTAACCCATTCAGAAAGCAGCTATCACAGAGCCTCTGAAAACTGAGCCATCATCTTTTTTCCCCTTTCATTTCACTCAATCTCCCATCTTATGCCACTCATGAATCTTAAATCCTTACCATCTCTACAACTTTCACAAGGTCTTTATCAGGTGAGGACCCCAAAGCACGTAAGACCTATCACTTTGTCCATGCTACAGTAACCACAGCTCACATCCATTCTTCCCATGTTATATGTGAGTAAACTTTAGTGTCGTAAAAGAAAAAAATTTTCCTGGGTTACATCAAAAGGAGTTTGACAGGCCAGGTACAGTGGCTTACCCCTGTAATCCCCACACTTTGAGATGCCAAGGAGGGAGGGCATCCTGAGGCCAGCAGTTTGAGACCAGTCTGGGCAACATAGAAAGACCCCGTCTTTACAAAAATAAAAATAAAAATTAGCCAGGTGTGGTAGTCTGTGTCTATAGTCCTAGCTACTCAGCAGGCTGAGGTGGGAGGATTGCTTGAGCCCAGGAGGTTGAAACTGCATGAGCCATGATTGTGCCACTGCACTCCAGCCTAGACAATGGAACAAGACACCGTCTCCAAAAATATATATAAATAAAAATAAACAGAATTTTCATTCTTTTAAAAAGAAGATTCTAGGGCTTAATCACATTTTTTTCTTTAAACAATCCTTAAAGTGTGAAGCTACTCCCTGTACTTTCAATTATAAACTCCTTAAAGGGTGAAAACTTTGTGTCTGCATAACCCATAGTATTAGCAAAGAGATCAGCACAGAGGCACTCCATGTATCTAAGTGAATAAATGATTACTCTTAGTAGTAGCATATACTCTTGCATTTTGAATTGTTTTCTGTCCCACTACCTATGCCTCATTAGGGAAAGACTTGTGTTAGTTAAGCCATCTGCACTGGTTTGTCATTGTTTTGTAGCTAACTGTATCCATTTTCTGGCCGATAAGCTGTGCTTAGAGTTCTGTGAACTCTAGCCTCTTTCAACAGGCAGGAGAAGAAAAGGTGGTTATACCTAGCAACATAATTTTATCATCTTTCTTCTCATTCAGTTCAAGTTCTACCCCAGTTCTTCCTCTTGCTTTATTTCTAGCACATCCACAGGTCCATCTGGAGACTGGCTCATTGTTAGCTGTCCTCAATCGCTTTTCACCACTCTCAATCCTCTCCCCTTCCCAAATTCCTCCTGTCTAACTCCAGGCCTAGCACTAGTGGCACCCGAGAGCTCTGCCTTTACCTGCTGGAAACTTCCAGAGCCTGGTGAGCATACCTATTAACTCCCGCCTTTCAGACCTGTGGCTCCCATACGCAGAGGGAATCCCCGTGGGCCCCACTGCCGCCAGCAGTTTCCTCCGGGCCACGAAGCCCTTCGCTGCCCCGGCCTCTACCCGTTAAATCAGGTCCCGAAGCCCTCCCCCTGCACGACCACCTCACCCTGGGCGCCTCACCCTGGTAGGGTTTCGACAGCGAGTGCTCCCGTTTCAAGTACTCGAACGTTTGACCCGCCCCGACTTGCTGTGGCCCCTGCCCAGACCCTAACAAAAGAAGAAGGAGCAATATCCTGGACCCATCCCGAGCCGACAAACATCGCCGCCACTGCCGCCACCACCCAAGGGGTCCCAGAGTCGCCGCCATCTTTCCCACCGCCGACCCTTCATCAAAAGCCCGCCCCGTCATCCAACCCATTGGCCCGAAGAACCCCCTGCTCCGTGTCCTACTGGCTCTCGTCAAGTCCCCGCCCCCGCAAGCGAACATATCATCGATTGGCTGGCTTGGGTATCAGTTGCCTTGCCAACCCAAAAAAGGGGCGTGGCTCAATGCCCAGACTCTTATTTGCATTTGCCCTGAGTGCCACTAGGCTTGCTGGGATACGTAGTTTATTTCTATTTTGTTTTCTGCGCGTCTTCTGGTCCCAAACAACGTTTATCCTCTCTGCCATAGTAGGCTCCTGGCTGCAGCTCTCTGAATCAATTTGGAAAATAAAGCAGTGAAAGGAGAAATAGACAAATTCGTAAAATAGCTGAAAAATTATCAAATTTATAAAAGAGTTGAACAGCCCTATCAACTAACTTGACCTGATGATACAGAAACTCTACCTAAGAACAGCAGAAGACATTCTCTTCAAATGCAAATGACTCGTTTGCCGTGATAGTCTGGGCCATCAAGCAACCTACAGATGTAAAAATTGAAAGCACACAAATTAACTCATTCTCAAAGCCATCACCTCCTTTTTTCCCTTTTTCTTTTGTTTTGTTTTGTTTTGTTTGTATGAGACAAGGTCTTGTTCTGTCGCCCAGGCTGGAGTGCAGGAGCACAATCGCGGCTAAAGCGATCCTCCTACCTCAACCTCCTGAGTAACTAGGACTTCAGGGACGTCCCTTCATCTTTATCCGGCACCACAACAACGTGTCCAGACTGGTCTCCACGTAGCCACTAAAGTGATCAAAACCATCTAACCATGGTGAGTGTCAGGGTTAAATGAATCAACATTGGTAAACCTCTTAGAACAGCGCCTGGCATGTAGTAAGCAGTATTTCTTCCTTTTTTCTTTCTTTGTGTGTATGTGTATGGGTTTTTTGTTTTTGTTTTTGAGACAGGGTCTGTCTCTGTTGCCCAGGCTGGAGTGCAGTGGCATGACCACAGCCTCAACCTTCTGGGCTCAAGGGATCTTCCCACTTCAGCCTCTCAAGTAGCTGGGACTACAGATGTGTGCCACCACACCTAGCTGATTTTTTATTTTTTGTAGCAGTGGTGTGTGTGGGGTGTCTCACTAAGTTGCCCAGGCTTGCCTCAAACTTCTGGACTCCAGCAATCCTTCCTCCTCAGCCTCGCAAGGTGCTGAGATTAGAGGTGTGAGCCACCACAACCAGCCATAAGCGCTATTTCATCATCATCATTCTTATCAACCAAGCCTTTGATGGTTCATGGTCACCTGTAGGGAGGAGATTCAAGCCCCTCAACTTGGTGCACAAAGCCCCCTGCCATCTGGCCCTGGCCTTATTGCCCATGACCTCCTTCCTCCATCTTTATGCTCCAGCTTCCCTTTTCTCTTTTTTTTTGCTGTCCACTTCCTTCTGGAGGTCCTTCCAGAACCCCTCAGGCAGGATATATTCTCCTGTGTGAGCTCTCAAAGTGCTCCATGCACATCTCTTGTAGAGCAATTGACCGATCTGTGTTTATGTCTTCCCAATAGACTTAACCAAAGTTAACACTCTCTTGTTTTCCTGAGCATGAATATATTTAATAAGATAAACATGATTATGAGCCTACTTTACAGGGATCAACCTTTTAAAATTAAAGCTGTTGCATTTTTTAAAAAGAGATGGGGTCTCAGCCGGGCCCAGTGACTCACGCCTGTAATCCCAGCACTTTGGGAGGCAGGCAGATTACCTGAAGTCAGGAGTTCGAGACCAGGCTGGCCAATGTGGTGAAATTATGTCTGGACTAAAAATAATACAATAATTAAGCAGGTGTGGTGGCAGGTGCCTATAATTCCATATATTTAGGAGGCTGAGGCAGAAGAATTGCTTGAATCCAGGAGGTGGAGGTTGCAGTGAGCCGAGATTGCACCACTGCACTCCAGCCTGGGCAGCAGAGCCAGACTCTGTCTCAAAACAACAACAACAAAGAAGAGATGGTGTCTCAATCCCTCACCCAGGCTGGGGTGCAATAGTGTAATCATAGCTCACTACAACCTCAAACTCATGGGGAGGCTCAGCTAATTTTTAACATTTTTTCTAAAGATGGGGGTCTCACTATGTTGCACAGGCTGCTTTTGAACTCCTGGCCTTAAGTGATCCTCCCATCTCAGTCTCTCAAAGTTTCGGGATTACAGGCATGAGCCCTAGTGCCCATCCTGTCACAACTGTCAGTCTTTGACACCCTCCAACGTCAAATGTCTAGTGCTAAGACCTTAGGAATTGCAGTGAATCTGTTCATGTCATATAATGGCTTTAAAACCATTCATAGCAGGGCACGGTGGCTCACGCCTGTAATTCCAGCACTTTGGGAGGCTGAGGTGGGCGGATCACCTGAGGTCAGGAGTTCGAGACCAGCCTGACCAAATGGTGAAACCCCATCTCTAAAAAAAAAAAAAAAAAAACATTCATAATTCCCAGTTACCAAAATCCAAACTCCTTAGTGTAGCATTCAAAGCTCTTTGCAACCTGACTGAAATCAGGCGGTATGAATGTGTATTATGATGTGTGTCAGCCGGAATTATGGAGCTCAATTAACAGATTATGGGTTTGTCTCCACAGCAAGGCTGGGCGCTCCAGGACCACAGGAAGAAGGTCTTACTCATTTCCTATCTCAGGCCCCACCCATTTCCCCAATCCCAACCTGTCAGCCAGGTTCTAATTGTCTAGTGCTGAGACCTTAGGAATTGCAGTGTTAGAATAGGAGTTCTCATTGTTTTGAGTAAAATTATTTCCATTGTATTTGTCTGCAAGATGAATTTTTAATTGTGGTAAGATGTGCATAAAACAACTTAAAATTTTTAAACATTTTTAAGTACAGATGCTCCTCAACTTTCAATGGGGTTACCTACAGAAAAACCAAACCCGGGCCGAGCGCGGTGGCTCAAGCCTGTAATCCCAGCACTTTGGGAGGCCGAGGCGGGTGGATCACGAGCTCAAGAGATCGAGACCATCCTGGTCAACATGGTGAAACCCCGTCTCTACTAATAATACAAATAATTAGCTGGGCGTGGTGGCGTGTGCCTGTAATCCCAGCTACTCAGGAGGCTGAGGCAGAATTGCCTGAACCCAGGAAGCAGAGGTTGCAGTGAGCC